GGGCTCTGGTGTCACAGACCCTGGAAGGAGTGAATTTACGAGCAAGGCTATTTTATACTTTGCAGCTGCTGTGGCAAACACTGGGCCCATCTGAGGAAGAGGGAGCAGCTGCGGGGGAAGCCTCCCAGGCCTGGAGCCATCACCAAATCCTTCCTGCTGTTCCTGAGCAGCTGGAGGGATCCTGAAATTAAAACCTCCTGAAAAAAAAACAGCAAATCCCTGTCCCATTCCAGACAGGCTGGGTCTGTGCCCCCCTACAGGGGAAGAGCCAGGATGAAGCAGAGCAGAGCTGGACACAGCTCGAGACTGCCCACCAGAGACCTGTATTCCTGTCCAGCTCTGGATGGGCCCCAGCCCCTGTCTGGTGCTCAAATGACCAAGTATAAAGTGAAGGACTTGTCTACAGCAGGGTTCTGGGGACTTGTAAAGTTTAGTGGTCCCCTAAAGTCACATAGCTCAAATATTCCTGTTTGAGTTTCTATGCTACAATTATTGGCTACGTGACCATTGACTAGTTACTTAACCTCTGGTCTCTCTTTTTCTCATATAAAATGGAGAGAAATAACAGCCATCTCATTGAGAGGGCTCCCTCCCTGGTGGCGTAACAGGTTAAAGCTCAGCACTGTGAAGCTCACACAGCTTCTTCAATGTGAGTTTGATTCCAAGGGAGTGACCCACATGGCGCGGCAGACCTCTCCTGACCCGCCCGCTGCTCCCCTCAGCAGTGCACTTCATTGATCTGCCTGTTCTGCTTCCCACGCTGTCTCTGGTGAATCCTTTCACTGCCCCTGCACCTCTGGCCTGTATCCCAGTTCTGTGTGCATAAATAAATAAATCATTAAAAAAAAAGTCATATGGGCCCTCCCTGGTGGCGCAGCGAGTTAAAGCACAGCACTAAGAAGCGTAAGCCACTTCCGCATGAGTTCGACCCCGCCTGCTCTGGAGGTGACCACATGGTGCTGCAGACCTCTCCTGACCCACCCGCTGCTCCCCTCAGCATTGTCCTTCGTTGATCTGCCTGTTCTGCTCCCCCACTCTGTCTCTGGTGAATCCTCTCACCCTCTGCACCTCTGGCCTATACCCCTGTTCTGTATGAATAAAAAAAAAAAGTCATAAGAAGAAAAATAACATCAGTTCTTAGCAGCTTTATTTGCAATAGCTAAAACAAACAAACAAAAAAACCCAAAAGCAGGTGACAAGATAAATGAATTGTGGTATATCCATACAAGGGAATACTACTCAGCAAGGAAAAGGAGTGAAATACTGATTCATATCATAACACGAATAAATCTCAAAATGTTTATGCTCAGTGAAAGAAGCCAGATCCTCCTCCTCCCCCCAGAAAAGAATATGCACTGTATGGTTTTGTTATACAAAATCAAAACCATAAAAATGAATCATAGTGACAGAAAGCAGATCAATCGTTGCCTGGGGGTTTGGGGAGGGATGGAGAGGAACAGTAAGACATTACAAAGAACTTTCAGAGGTGGCAGCTATGTCCATTATCTTGCTGGTGGCGACAGCTTTCTCAGTATACACAGATATCAGTATACACAGATATCAAAATGACCAATCTAAACAGTCTTATGCGTGCTTTTTATTGTGTATCACTTATATTTCAGAAAAGCAATAAAAAGTCAAGCGCCAGACATAAGCACACTTAGTGCAGAAATGCCAGATAATGGACATATCTGCCACCTCTGAAAGTTCTTTGTAATGTCTTACTGTTCCTCTCCATCCCTCCCCAAACTCCCAGGCAACGATTGATCTGCTTTCTGTCACTATGATTCATTTTTATGGTTTTATTTTCACCGCGGCTGTGGCTGGATCATTGTGGATCACTGATTAACTTCCATCTTGCCCACTGTCTCACTCGGTATAGACACCACGCATAGTACGGGATCATCAAATAGCTGCGGCTGGAAAACAAAGCCGACCACCTGGCGCTTGCTCCTGGGCCACCTGGGAATGAGGGGTTGTTGTCACACAGGATAGATTCTATCAATCCAGCCCCAAGAAGGGCCCCTCAGCACTGGGGAGCTCCTGTCAGCACCACAGAAGGGGGTCCTATTTTGAAATGTAGTGAATACAAAGGTCACTTCTCTTTTCCCGCCGCAGCAGGGGGCCGGCTCTTGGCCAGCAGGTGAGTTTTAAGCAGGAGTCTCAAGGCTGAAGAGCCCAGGCAGGCAGCCAGACAGAGCTAGGCTTGAATCCAGCTAGGCACAGCTGTGCAACCTTGGCTAGTCACCACACCGCTCTGAGCCTCAGTTTCTTGGTCTGTAAAATGGGGGTACTGACGTTGCTCATGCTGAGGAGAGTGTGGTGAGGGCCATGTGGTGTGGATACACTGCCACGTGGCACCTTCCTTCAACCTTGGGCACGCAAGCACAAGGGCGCACCCATACAGAAGTCTCCACAGTGCCCGGGGTGCAATGGGAGTCAGTGGGAGTCAGGCCACAGACCCCTGCCCCGAACTTTGCACCTCAATGAGACAGTTTCCCGGCTGCACACTCAGAGACTGATTTTTTTTTTTTTAAGATTTATTTATTTATGCTCACAAGAACCAGGGTATAAGTCAGAGGAGCAGGAGGGTGAGAGGACCCACCAGAGACAGAGCGGGGAGCAGAACAGGCAGATGGACTGAAACACACTGCTGAGGGGAGCAGCAGACGGGTCAGGAGAGGTCTGCCGCGCCTTGTGGGTCAGCTTCCTGGCCGGAATTGAACTCGTGCCACAGTGGCTTCGGATAGCTTCACAGTGCCATGTTTTAACCTGTTGCACCACCAGGGAGAGCCCTCGGAGACTCTGATTAGTCAGTCTGGGTGGGAGTAAGGATTTTGAACCGCTCCCAGGCAACCCCCGATGTGCAGGTGGAGACCCCTGCCAGCGGCGGGAGATCATCCCCTCCTTACCTGGGTGGAAATGGCGGCCGAGAGAGGAGAGGTGACGTGCTCAAGGCCACACAGCTTGAGCAAGGGATGGAGCTGGCGTTCACCAGGCAGTCTGCCCAGGGCCTCTGCCCCCTTCACCTGGGCCAGGGGCTGCAGCTATGTGTCAGGCACTGAGCCCACCCCAGTGTGACTTCCTCCTCCTCTGGCCCCGGATATGAGCCCCAGCCAGGGAATGCCCAGCCCGTGGGCCTGAACAGAGCCCGGCACAACAAGGGAAAGAGGGCTCTTCAGCACCCCCAAACTCTTTACCAGAGCCTCCCACACCCACTAGCTGGGGTGCGTTCCTGTGAGCTGGTTTTGCAGACCCTCCCCTCTTCCTTTATGCACCACAGGCCTGGCCCCGGGACAGACTCCCAGGCTGGGGGCAGCTGTGTGATTTTACAAGCCCAGGGACAGTGGGGCCTGTTCAGGCCCTGGCAGACTCCGGATCCCAGGGAACCGTGGCAGCCCACCCCCTCCCCCACTCCCACAAGCCTAGTTCTCCCCCTCTCCCCCTCACCTGGCCCCAGCCCACCAGGCCCAGCCACTGTCTCCCTGTAAAGCTCACTCTGCTGGGGCCAGCCAGTTGTGTGGGCATGAAGAGTCCTCGGGGCACACCACCGCGTGGGAGCAGACCAGAGTGGTGTCCTGTGTCCCCTCCCCAAGGGAGGCAGGCGTGCATCTGCTCACTGATGCCTCAGGAAAGCAGTCGAGTCTAGCAAAACTTGACTGAACTCAGATGGCTGGGCTGGAATCCTGGCTGAGGGGCCTGAGCCGTGGCCTGCCCCTCTCTGGGGCCAGTGTCCTCGTGTGCCGCCTGGTGCCCTCCGCTGGGGCTGAGAGTCTCCATGGGCCAATGACGTCAGGCTCAGGGTCATCGTCGTCATGGAGCCCTGGGGACTGGGAGACGGGGCGGGGCTGTCAGAGAAGGCTCCCAGGAGGAGGAAACATGCCGGCCAGGAGCTCTATAGGACAAGGCGCAGTTCGCAAGACAGGAAGGGGCATGGAAGCGTGTCACAGTCAGAGGGAACAGTAGCTGTAAAGGCTCAGAGGTGAGGGATAGGTTGATTTCTTCACTTCCCCCAACATACTTGCCAGTCTGAGAGTTAAACTATGACGAAGGCCACACGCTCCATGTCCTCCTGGGGGCCACCAGTTGAGCACTAAAGGGGAACCACTGAGCAGAGAACAGTTGATTGGGAAACTCAACCCTGTCTCCCTAAGGGTCTCCCACCTCTACTTCCATCTTCCTTGGTCCTTGCCAGTCACAGGGAAACTTAGTGCCCCTCCTGGCCGTACCCCGGCCCTGGGGCCCCCCAGGAGCTCAGGAAGTAGACCCTCGCACATCCAGAGAGGCTGAGCGACTGGTCAGAGCCCACAGCACAGAAACTGACATTGGGGTGTTCATATTCCACTCTCCCTCGTTCGTGGGCAGAGCTGGGCTGGGCAGAGGAAGGGAGGGCCTTTTCCCACTGAGCCAGACAGAGGCCATTGTGTGCTAGGAAACCCAAACCCTGGCCCTCTCCGGATGGATGTGGGTTCGGCAGAGCAAGGGACTGCAGGGGTCTGGCCCCCACCCCCATCACACCCCAGGATCCAGCACATGCGCCCAGCCCAGCCACATCTGGATTCCAGCTGGCAGCCCAGGGCAGGGGGGGCGTGGTGCCCAGCCATTTGCAAAGGCCAGGAGAAGCCTGGTGGGTGAGGGGACGAAGGCCAGGCTGCCTCCAGCCTGCAGCCGGCCCGGGGTGTGGCGAGCCAGGCACGGTCTAGGAGTCCAGTCCACGACCCCTCCTGAGGGCACGGGAGACTGACACCCCGCAGGGAGCCCCTCCACCGCTGGCGTTTCCTGTGACCACAGACGGTGGCTTTTCCCGGTCACAGTGAGCAGCAGTGGAACCTGGGTCGGTGGCCCGTCTGGGGCTGGTGTCAGCGGCTCTGCCTCTCCCCGGCTGCCCCTCCCCTCCCACGCCAATGTGCCATCTGCAAGGTCAAGCCCACGCGTCTCCGCCGCCTCCCAGCAGACTCAGCCCCTGCCCCCACCCCGGAAATCAGGAGCAATTTGGCCGATCAAGGTTTATTGTGAGCTTCGGGCATCTCAGCACCTGGAGAGCTGTGCAGAGGTTGGGGAGGGGGGAGGGCAGGTAGAGGGGTAGGAGGAGAACCCCTCAAATCAGCCTCCCCAGTTCAAGACGGAGCTCAGGCTCCCTTGTCAACTACTAAGGAATGCTGTGAACACGGCTGCCAGAAAACAGGTGTGAGCAGGAGGTGGGGAGCAGGGACCCCACTCCAGGCTGGGCGAGGGAGCCCCTCCTGCCCCCTCAGACCCTCATGGCCCGGGGCCTTGGCAGCAGCCCGGAGCTTTGGGCTGCTGGGCAGGCTGTAGGGACAGCTGGAGTCAGACCCCACCCAGGCGCCGGAGAATGAGAAATTCACCGTGAGCTGAGACACTTGGGCCCTGGAGAGACCCCACAGCCCACAGCCTAACCTGGGCCAACCAGACAGTGGGGGCACCCTTGGGAACATTTAGGGCACATAGTTCCAGATTGTGCTCTGCAAATTTTCATTGTAGCTGCAACAAAAATAAAAAATTGCTCTCCACTCCAGGGCGGTTTGCGAAAGGCTAGCAAAGCCGGACTCCACAGTGGCCTTCACTGTGGGGTGGTCAGAGTCTTGGGTGCTCTCAGGCGGGCGTGGGCAGCAGAGAAACATGTTCCCCCAGTTCATTGGCCCTCAAAATCTTTCTTCCACAGAGTTCCTCAGGGAACCCAGTTTGGGAGATGCTCATTTAAGGACCAAGTCATAACACGGACTAACCAGACCACTTCTGTGGTAGCTCTGGCCGGCTCAGGGGGGACGGGGCTCCCAGAAGCAGGCCCAGCGCTCTGCCTCCTGCGTCCGCACCCCCTGCACCCCCAGCACCCAAGCTCCCCGTGAAGGCCTGCTTACTCTGCTCTTCTTTTCGCCTGCAGGGGCAACTTGTGAGGTTGTGCTGACACAGGACCAGACGCGCGTTTCCCAGCTGCGTGGCTGATTTTGTGTTCCGTGGAGGCTGGGATGGGACCCCCCTCGCCATCCCCACCTCCACGAGGAGCTGTTTTGGTGGGTAGCCCTCTGGGGCTGTGGGGGCCACTATTTCTGCAACTTGGTGAGAGGCTCCGGGCCAGGGCTGAGAGCAGCATATCTGACCGCAGAAGGATCAGGACTCGCGCCGGGACTTGCAGCAGGGGACAGCTGAGGAGCGGTTTTAGGGTGCAGCGAAGGACTGAGGTCCTTTCCATGCCCAGGGGGGTGACCACGAGGGGTTCAACAGTCAGCACAGGCAGCCCCTGAGGCCACTTAGACGCTGGGGGTGACACTGCTACACGCACAGGGACTTTCAGGGGGACCATCTGTCCCCCCAGCTTCCTGGGCTAGTGAAGGGGCCCCTCGTGGCCCCTCTTGGACTTCGCCGACCCCCGTCGCCCCCTCCACCACCACCGAGCAGGGTTCCTCTGGCATTGCTGCGTTCTCCGCTGCGCCCCCAGGCCCCGGGGCTTCCTGCGCCACCTCCAGGCCGCCCTTGGCCTCCTCCTCTGATTTGTCCTCCATCCTGGCTCCCTCGCCACTGCCTGGGCCCGCTCTGGCCGGAGACTTGAGGTTTTGGGTGGCAGCAAGGATGTCGGCCTGGAGCTGCTGAGAGGAACCCAAGGCCTCCTCGGACCGGCCGTCGGCAACCCTGTCTGGGACCTCGCTGAAGGCCTGGGGGCCTCCGGCCCGGTCACTCTGGTCCACGTACTTCTTCTTGGGGAAAGACGAAGGGTAGTAGGCGGAGGCCTTGTGCTTCTGGCGCGTGATGAGGGCGGCGCAGACGATGAACATGAGCAGGAACGCCAGGGAGCCCACCACGGCGATGAGCATCACGTACTGGCGGAAGAAGTCCACTATCCCATCCAGGAAGTTGGTGGGGGGCCTGGGGCCCGCCAGGGGCGTGGGCTGCGGCCCCACCGATGTGGGACTGAGGGCGGGGGTCCGGGGTGGCGGGAGGCTCGGGGACGAGGCCGATGAGCCCTCAACCTCCCCGCTGCCCCCCAGGTCCTCCAGGAAGGCGGCCTGCAGGGGCACAGAGTGGGCGGCCAGCGGCAGGGCCCTCCAGAGCAGCAGCAGGGGGACGAGGAGGCCGGACGCCACTGCAGAAACCATGTTGCCTGCACCTGCGGATCAAGGTGGGAGAGCAGTCACGGGGGGACGCCAGGGGGCCTCCAGGAGGCGCAGGGCCACGGAACACTTTCGTGTTCGCAAGTCACTTCCCTTCCCAGGGTCTGAGCCTCCGGCTGTACAGGGGACCCTGATCATCATATATGGGGGCACTCGTGGACCCCTATTTCACTCTCCGGTCCTAGATGGCAAGGGGCTGACTCATTTATTTGGCATCCTCCAGCTTCTGCATCAGATCTGGTAAACAGCAAGTGCTCGCTCGATGCATCCGGGTTGAGTCAGTAACTCACCCTTTTATCGTGTCCCAAGAGTCAGGAACTTCTAGTTTCTTACATGCAAACCTGAGGCCCATTCTTTGGGGAAGGTACTACCATTATCCCCATTTTCCAGGTGTGGAAACTGAGGCTCGGAGGACTGTGGTGATTAGCCAAGAAGGGCTGGGGTCAGGGAGGAGAGAGGGTGGGGCTGAGCGAGACCCAGAGCCGAGTGGCCCCTCTGCTTGAAGTCCTCCCAGCGCCCCAGCCCCTCTGAGGCCCATGTGTTCCCTCGCAGGCTTGCCGGTGGAAGGCTTCAGACCGAGCCCAGCCGGATGCCAGCAACACACTGAGCGGGTCTGCCCCGGGGCTGACCCTCCCTCCAGGCTCCAAGCAGGAGGAAACCCTCCTTCCTGCCCTAGACAGAGCTGGAGTGGGGGGAGCTGAGTCCTGGGGGCCACCACTAAATGGAACCAGATGAACGCCTGCACTTCCCTCCCCCTGTTGGAAAGGAGCTCCCGACATGAACCCCCAGATCTCATCTGGCCCAGACAGCCCGACTAATTAATAAATTCCTCATGGTCCGTGTTGAAGGAGAAACCAGCTTTGGAAACACTGACTCTCCGGGCCCAGGTGAGAGGCTGGGTGCACAGGACCCCGTGAGATGACCCCCCCAGAGAACCCAGCCTGGCCCAGGGGGTGGCCCAGGATCCTGATGCTGGCTGGGGTTGGAGACTCCAGGCAGAAAAGCCTTAGGACGCCCCTGAGGGGTGCTCCCCTGTGGCTCTGAGCCACCAGGCGGGAGATGGCTCAGAGGCGCTGGGGCAGGCTCAAGCCACACAGCAAGTTCCTGGGCTGGAGGAGATGTGAGCGTCCCACAAGTAGGTGACAATACTGATCTGGCGGGTGTCCGTGGTGATTTGGACCATGCCGGGCCATTGAGTGACCAGAGCCTCTCAATGGAGTGTCATTTTTGAAATGAATGTGCTGACTACATTTGGACAAAGCAGATCAGATGTGCAAAAGCACATGATAACCCCAGGGCGTGAAGGCAGCAGGATCCAGATGGGCTGGCTGGTCACCCGCTACTTTCCATGGGTCACTCCCAAGCCCTTTCTGAGGGTCCATCCCATAGCGGCTCTGGGGACGGCTACTAACACTGCCTCCACTTCACGGACGAGGAAATAGAGGTTCAGAGATGGACAGTGATTTGCCCAAGGACACACAGCTGGTAAGCGTCAGAGCTGGGATTCGAGCCTGCCTCGTGGGACGCCGAGTCTCATGCTCGCGCCCAGGGCTGGCCCAGGAATGCTCACGCTCCCTGGCTGGCGCCACCTGCCGCGGGAGCAAGGCTGTGGGATGTCCATGGGCGAGCTGCCTCCCCAGCCCACCCCTCTGGCGCTTGGCCCCACAGGGAGCTTTGTGGGCCCAGTCTCCTCCCTGCCTTGAGCCACCATCCTGCCCAGAATTCACCTTCCAGGGCAGTGCTGAAGCTTCTCCTCACAGAGAAGCTGTGAACTCTGGCTTGGGGAGTGTAGGGGGGCAGAGACCAGGGGGCTGTGAAATTCCCGTACCCCATTCTGCAGACGGCAGATGGGGGCAGCTGGGCTGGATTCAAATCCTAGCTCACCTTGCTCTTGCTTTGTGCTGGGGCCTTTGGGCCGCACGTTCCCTTCTGTAAACTGGGGGGGCGGTGACCACAGGCCCTGCGTCACCCATGTACATCTGTTCAATGTCTTGTCACTACTGGTAAAAGAGTCACTTCTTACCCCATTGAGGGAAATCTCAGCTCTGGCCCCTGAGGAGTCCAAGACCAGATACACACACACACACACATACACACACACACGCACGCACGCACGCACGCACGCACGCACACACTGCAGTGAATTGGACGAAGGACATCTCCCCTCCCTCTGGAGCTTTGGGGTCAGGGTCAGCAGATGAGGAAAGATGAGCACGAACCACTGCAGGCTCTCAAAGGCCAAGACCCTGGCTCAATCTTTCCCCACACCACAACCACTCCTGGCTCCCTAGGGAGGGGGGTGCTGACCTGGCCTGGAAGAGGTCGGCGGTGTGACCCCGTGGGTTGAACCTACCCCCACCCCCTGCTCCTAGCCCATCTGGAGCCTGGAAGCACAGGCCAGGACAGCTCTGGAATGATCCTTCTGCCCATCGGCTGCCCCCATCTCCTGGGAAAAGGTCGACCTTGCCTGCTGGCCTGAATTTTTTCCAGGACTCAGAAACTCACAGGTCTTCCAGAGCTGGGCTCAGCAACCCTCTCCTTGTGCTGGGAGGAAACTCGGGACTGAGGCTGGAAGTGGTTTGGGGGTGTGGAGAAGGGGGATGCCCGGGGCTGCACCAACCCAGGGGCTGAGCCCTGAGCAGAGAGGCAGAGAGGAAGTCGCTACCCAGCTGTGAGTCGGGGGCCAGGCCTGTTACCTCTCTGAACCTCAGTTCCCACATCCGTGCAATCGAGGTGAGAGCCGCCTCCCTGGACACGAACAGTGGGTGCCACATGACAATCCAGCCCCCCAGCTGGGAGCAAGCCTCTCTTTGGAGGCCAAGTCTCTGGGGGCCTGTTGTTCTCAAACCGGATGGCCCGGACTGAGGTTAGGAATATGCCAATGATGCAGACCTAGGTATCCCAAGGCCTAGGCACCCCAAAACCTGAGGCGGAAGGGCCAGAGACACTGCCCCACCCCCACCAGAGCCTAGTGGCCAGAGGGGGAGGGGCAGCTCACAGAAACCTGGCTTCAATTAGTGCTCTTTGGGAGAGGGGGCTGGAGCCCTGTACCCTCTGCCCCGGGGCAGCTGAGGACAAGGATGGGGCCCCTTGGACAAGAGGCTTGGGGGTTGAAAGCGATCCCGGGGCCTCAGAATGTACGCACATCCAGAGCTCAGCAGCGGTGTGGACACACAAGATGGACACAAACACAGCCGCGGGAGGCGGAGGCGCGAAGCCCAGGCCTGCACAGCGACAGGACTTAACACGGCTGATCCCCCTCCCCTGGGTGCCCCAGACTGGACAGCTGGGGCCACACCACCCTCCGCAGGCCCCTGGGAGCAAGCACCCTGGCACCCCCTCTCCGAGAACCCCCCCTGCACCCAGCCTCCACCCCCCAGCCCGGCGTGCACCAAGACCCACAGACTCGCTTGCACTCTGCCAGCCTCCGGGTCACACAGGACCGGCGCGGCATCCATGGAGCCCTGCAGCCCCCTCACAGGCAGAGACACCCCCAGAGTGCTCGCCCTGTCCCCATCCCTAAACTCCAAGAGGCCTCCGGTCCGGACAGAAGAGGGGACGCGGGACTCACCAGTCCCCTGCGCGCAGGCCGGCTCCCACCAGGTGGAGCGAGAGAATCTGCCCGGTGCCCGGCGATCACTGCTCTGGGCTGGCGCTGGCCCTGCCCTCCGCCTGTCCCGTCCCGCCTCCTCCTCCTCTCCTTCTCCTCCCTCCTCAGGCTGCGAGGACAGCTTGATTTCATTAGGAGAGTTTGGGGTGGGGACAGGGAAGGGGCGGGGCTGCTCTGGGCCACACACAGCCCCCTCACTCACACTCTTGCAGCGCCCCTCCAGGCTTAGGGGAAGACCAGATGGGGTCCTTCCGCCCTGACTGTGGGTCCCCAGGGTGCTTGAGGCAGACAGACAGGGGCCCAGAAGGCCAGCCCAGCTGAAGGGGCCGAGGTCAAGGAGGTTCAGAGGCCCCTAGAAGTGAGGAGAAAAATTCCCCCGTCCTGTTCCAGTGGTGACTCAGGCTTTCCAAGGCTCAGGGTGCAGAATGGGGCTGGGTGTGTGCGAGGGAGCAGATCAGAGTCCTGATCGAGGGGCAGGCCTGGGGCCAGGGCCAGGGTCCTGGCCGTCTCTTCTTCTGCCTCAGTTTCCCCACTTGCAGGGATGGGAGGTTGGGAAGATTTCTAGGCTCCCTTCTGGCTCTGACACCCTAGGATCTGTGGTCTGACACCCTAGGATCTGTGGTCCCAAATGAAGATGTGACAGTGGGAGTCGTGGCCCCATTTCACAGGTGGGGCAAGTAGGTGGGGTGGGCTCCTGGGTCAGCCAGAGAGTGGAGGGAATTCAGTAACAGGCTGGGAACTCGGGATCTCCGGCTGCCCTGGGGACCCAGTGCGTCTGTAGCCCCTTGCAATCACTCAATCACTCAGCAAAGGAGAAATGAAGAACGGGCCAGGTGCTGTGTTGAGCAGGTTTCAGAGGTAACTCAGATAGAGCCCAGCCCTCAGGGAGCACAGACTTCCCGGGAGAAGGGGACCCCAGGACGGGGCTAGGGAGAGAATCCTCATGGAATCTGCTGTGAGCAAGCCGTGTCTGAACAGGGAGCCCCGAAGAGGTGCTCCAGGGGACGACAGCCCAGAAAGGCCTGAGGCTGAGGTGAGAGGGCCTTGATGACGTTAGGCTGGCGGAGGGATGAGCAAGCACAGGCCTGGAGAAGGCACAGGGGTGGCGAGCGCCACGGAAGCTTAGGGACAGGGAAGTGTCCAGCAGCAGCAGTGCCCACCCACGCTCGAGGAGCCAGGACTCTAGAGGACTGTCCTTCCATGGCTTCCCTTTGCGGCAGGCCCTACTTACCTCTAAAAGACAGATTTTGTTTGAAATAAAATAAAATAAAATCAGACCTCTTCCATCTACTCTTGAGATCATCCCAAACCCTGCATCCTGGCAGGGGCAGACCAGGGAACTGTCTACCAAGGGACACACACACACACTCATGGACACACACTCACACACCCGCGCACACGCTCACACACTCGCGCACACGCGCATACACTCGCGCACACGCTCATACACTCGCGCACATGCTCATCACTCATGCAC